CCAGAATTCCCCGGCTGGCTGGGGAACTCTGGGAGTTGAAGTCCACACATCTTAAAGTTGCCAAGGTTGGGAAGCCCTGCTCTAGACTGCCTGCCTGGATTAAAAGGGCAAGAACTTGATTATCTCATCTTTGCAGATGGTCTTGGTGCTGTTGTGATGACTGGACTGAGTTGGATCTAAGGCCACTATGGTTCTTTGCTTACGTACTCTCCAGGCCTCCCCTAGCAGCAAACTCCCACTCTTCTTCTGTTGGTAGCCTCTTCCTTTTCCATTTGCAAAAAGCCTGGGCATCATTCCAGCTCACATGCAGTACCGGGTAGTCTAGTCTGTCTTTGATGCTGGATCCAGGACCTGAAGGCTGAAGATGGGAAAGGATGTTAGTTAAGGCATTGTTATCCCTTTTTTTTCCTTTAAAAAGTCTCCCAGAATGCCTTGCAAATCTCTGTAGTGAAGCGCTCTCTGTTCCTCAGGCTTGTCAATTAAGTGACATGACACATAAGGAAAAGAAACAGGGAGGGAAGAGGAAAAACAAACTCAGGCAGCAGTGATAGTTATTACTACAATCAGCTGAGAAAGAATTCAGGTAACTTGTTGGAATGACCACCAGCTAAGTGGCAGCTGGGGGAAGCTCAAGGGTTAGCTTTCCCAACTCTTCACAAAGATGATCTTGATGAGATTAACAGCAGCAAAATCAGCATGGATCTTCCTCACATGCTCTGCCAATCTAACATCTGCATGTGCCAATATACTTGGGCTCTGCCCAACTAGATTAACAAACAGACCTGTTATCTGATCTCTCCACCATGGACCAAACTAGGTTCTTGGGTTTATCCATTTTATTTCTTTGGGGGCTTCTGGTTCCTCCAAATCCTAAAACTAAAATTGTATGCCTAAACAGCTACTGCAAGACAGAGTCTGTTAACATTTTCAGGTGCCAAGTGTTGAAAGACAAATGAATTGATCAATAAATTAGATGGCCAAACTGTCTTGAGATTTCATCAGTATCATCCCCAAAGATCTTGGGCAGACTCAGCTGGAAACACAAATATCACATAAATTCTTACTTGAAATCTCATTAAACCCCCCCAATATTAAATCCATTCTTCACAAGATTTGGTGAACTCCTGAATGTTTTTGCCCTTTAAAAAGGGCTTAATGTTCAAATTTAATCTGAGGAACCTGCAGATACCATCTAAGGATACTGTGGATGTTCTGGTGCTGGCAAAAACATTTTGCTTATTTTCTGCTGGCAGAGTATGTGGAGGGCCCCAACAACCGCCTCATGTTATTATGCATATTGGATGTCAGCCCAGCCTGTCCTGTGGATTCCAAGTACAGTTCACTGATCAACACGTATTTCTGAAGACCTGTAGGATGGAGATTCCTCTTGTCCTCTAGCAAAGACTCACCTGCCTCCAAAATGCTTTCTCAATAGGAAGCCACCATGGTGCAGACTAAAGGGAAGAATAAAAGTAGAATGAAGGCAACGAAAAAAATCCCATCTCAGATATATACCCTTCCTCCTTCACCAAAGTAACATGGGTTTGTCCTCCATTTTTAGAATAGCATTGCATAGGTGGTCTGAAAATGAAGCAGGATGGTGTAAAGGTGACCTCAAATCTCAATTCCTGAACATTTCCATTTTAAAAGAAGACTATGTTGCTAGCCCTTATGATTTCAAATACATTGGAAAGTGTTGTAATGATGGTTGCTAAAATCATCAAAGGTGAAATTGTTGCTCAGTAAAGTCGCAGAGCCCTAGTTGCATGCCAAACTAGAAGCAACAGAAGTTACGCACAATAAGAAATCAGAGAAGCTCCATTAGCTGAGATGGATCAATTCAGTTCATGACAGTTCAGGTTAGATTTATAATTTCCTAGGATTTACTGCTTGTAGTTTCTCTTCCTGGCAAATCACCAAACTATTTCCCAATACCTGACTGACCCATTTACTGATATAAACTGGTACTGAGTCATCTGTGATCTTGTAAGACTTTCTGGAGTTTGGAATGCAGGGCAGGTTGGCCAAAATCACCCCTTTCCCCCAAATGCTGAAAAGCTGCCCTTTACCTCCAGTTTTTGCGTCACTTTCTTTTTAAGCTCTTCCGGGACAAAATTCTCAAAGACGAAACTCCAGCCAAATTCCTCTGCTTCTGTGTTGTATTTCTGGTCCTTCACAAACTCCCTGTGCCCAAAAGATAGAACTGATTTCCAAACCAGCCATTTTTGCAGATCCCGGGACAGTTTTGTGGCTGGGGGCTTCTGCTTTCAAAATAATTCTGGCAGGAGAAGGGTGCAGGGGATGAGACAATGATGTGTTGATACCACCTGGGATGGGGGCAGACTTGGTGGCTTCCTATTTTTTCATTTGCCTCTTTTATACATTTAGATGGACTTAGTGTATCACTTTGATGTGCCTCGTTCCTTCCACTTCCCATAGAGCATCAGTGGGAAAGTACACGGCTGTAATTTGGTGGTTTGCAAACATCTTGGCACATGATTTGGAGGTCTCTGAGGGTCCCAAAGAAAGGGGCTGAGAGGCCACAGGTGATCCACTACCACCCACCCTTGGACTAAGCCCTTTCTCCTTTAGCACTGTTTCTTGTCACGGCTAGCCAACTTGTGATAACCTTTGCACACTATTCCTGCTTGTTTTCCCTAATGATATTCTGAAAATAAAGCAAGCAGGAGACCTGGGGCGTGAAGGAAATATGAGCTACAATTTGCACAGAGAGAGGAGGTTGGGACTGGGGATATTATTGTTCTTTCTTATTAAATAAGCTGGTCCCTAATTGGACTTCTCCACAAAATAGCTGTACTAGCAATTTACTTTCCCCAACACTGCATCAACCCCAAATCTGAACTCTATTTACACCAGCCAGCTAAGAGAACACTTCTTGCATTTGAAGAAGTGGATTCTAGTCCTCAAAATATGCTTCCACAACCTTTTACTGTAGTATGAACCCTGTTGTCGATACTTTGAGGAGTTTCTCAACGAAGTATAGTTCTGGCCTTCCTGTACAGCAGCATTTCTCAAACCTGGCAACTTTAAGAGGCACGGACTTCAACTCCCAGAATTCCCCCAGCCAGCCCCAGAGTTGAAGTCCGTGCCTCTTAAAGTTGCTAAGTGTGAGAAACACTGCTGTAGAGTCCGTTTCTTCAGCTGGTCTACTTTGAGGGGCTGACCCAGAATTGTTAGAAAGCTGCCAGTTGTGAATGCAATCCAAAGTGGTAGTGAAACCACAGTATTATTAGGTAAGAGAGAAACTATTGCAGGGCAAAAACCATGTTAAGACAAGCCAATGTGGGATGTGACCTTTACCGGAAGTCTCTGTTGGTGACCGGATACTTGTCCATAACAAATGGTTTGATTGTCCTGAAGGATCTGTCTTCAGTTTTACCATCCAATAACTGGGTCCTAAATTCCAATTTCCCACCAGGCAGTTGCACCATGTCTTCATCCTTCCCGACAGCTGAGAGGAGGGTTGAAATTAGCAGCAAGAATGTCAGGAGGTAACAAAGAACGAAAGAGTAAATTCAGGAAAGAATGGCTGGATTCACAGAAGGTTGGCAATTTGTGGTCCAGATGTCGTGGGAAAAGCCTCCATGACCTTAACTTGCTGTGTGAATCAGCCATCATGTAAAGCTAGTATATGGTTTATTTGCTGGGCACAGCATGTTACATGAACAGAGTAACTATGTTTTGCTAATCTGAGGTTAGGATTTAGTGGGTAGTGTGAACACGGCTTACAGGTCAGGGTACAACCTTTGAGGACTGTTCTATGAAGTCCGGAGTGACATTCTGAGGACTGCGCTCAGTCTGTCAGCGGAAGAAATGGTAGGGCCAGTGGAAAAACAAAACAGGAGCCACTTCGATGCTTCAAAGAAATGTGAAAACTTTAATAAATGAGAGAGCACAATCTCACGTACACTTTCCCCACCATTCCCTATTATTTTCTTCTTAGAATTAAAGACAATAAGCTATTTCAAACTACAGTGTTGTATTTTGTTTTAAAAAAAAGCAACACCCAAATAATTTGAAATGAAAAAAAGGGCACCATTTAATGGGGAGAGCCTTACATAATGGCTATTTTTCAGTTGTCAGCATCCTTTTCTTTATCCTAATATATCCTCTGAGATTGTTTCTGGTGGTCTCCCACTAAACTTCAGAGACTCATTGGTAAATCATAGCAGAGGATTTTGGTGGCAAAGTGGTGCCCAGTGTGGGTGTGTGGGGCTCTATGGTTGTGCTAAAGCCCTAGAGCAGAGTTACTATAATAGTAACAAGATAGCATCTGTTTTGATTATTTCACAAAACCATCACAAAACCCCATCAGTTTAGAAGCCAAGGAAGTTTCTTTGGAATTTTTTGTTGTTGTTGTTAAATGCACACTAAAGGTAACGTAAACGGTTAGTGACTACATGGTGATCATGAAGTTGTTTGCCATTTGTCTTTTTCTCCTCTTTTAAGTTAAATATTCTGTTTTTTCATGATATCATTATAGTGCCATTTTATTAGAAAATTGTTAAGGTACCTTCTCATACTATTTATGGCAAGGCAAGATGCTTGGCTGTAATTTTAATTATGTTTTAATTGAGCTGCTTTTGCTTTATCATTATCTACCTGGACATTTCTATTTTATTTTATTGACTGTCCTGCATGGATAAAAAGGCAGAATATAAATCAAATTATTATTATTAATAATCACCTACATTAAATTATTTATTCTGTAACATGGGCAACAGCCATCCTAAAATCCCTGGGGGCCTTAGGAATGTTATAGTTTTAACAGGATTCATATGACAAAACTCCCAAGTGGGAAGGTTTTGCAGCATATGTTTGCCCTAAAGCTGCATCCCCTGGAAACAAATTATTCACTACACTCTGCACGTGCACAGAAGAACTGTTTTCCAGATAATAGTACAGTATCCTGTGAAAGTTTAAAGCCATGATAAAATTATTAATTTTCAAGGATTGGTAGGGATCTTTGCTATTTTTGCTGCAGTTTTACTGTAACAGCCTAAAAGTCTGGAAATGGTAGCTTCCATGTTGTGTGATGGATCACAATTTCAATTCTAATCGGACATGGGCATGCCTATGCCTGAAGCAAGCTCCATCTATTCTCCGGGGAATTATTTCTTGGCCTCGATTCTTTCTGGCCAAAGCATTCTCTTGGGGGAAGAGGGTTTTCCACGGTTTAACACCCGGCTGCACGCAAGGAGAGAATTTAATCCAAGCCTCGACCACAGACGCCCAGAGCGAAGAGGGGAAGAAGCCGCGGCGGGGACTCACCGGGGCGCTCCGAGCTGCTCCCGGTCACCGCCCAGGGAGACAACAGGACGGGCAAGAAACTCGTGAGCAAAGCGGGAGAGAAGAACATTGACGCGGGGAGGAGGAGGACGGGGACACCGGACCCTCCCTTCGCCCCGACTTTGGCAGCGACGATGTGCAGCAAAGCAGCCGAGCACGGCGATTGCTTCCGGGGTCGGCAGGAGCGGCACACGTGTACGGGCAGGGCCCGTCCTACCTCCGCAAACTTCCTTCGTTTCGCAAACATCCTGGCTTGGCTTGGCGTCAGCGCCTCTCGCCTTTTGTATTCGAAAGAGTGCTGGCGCCTGGCCGATCTTGAAAACCTAAGCAGGGTCGGGCAGGATTTGAGGGAGGGAGACCCCCGAAAAAATGGATCAGAGCTGTGCACTGGATTGGGAAGTCTGAAAAGCGGCCCGGAGGAGGCAGTGGCAATCCAGTTCTACAAGCGTTGGCAGGAATATTACGCAGACGTGCCATTTTTCTCCTCCAGCTGTGGCGCTGGTGTTCTGACCCTGTCTGGCCTTAATCCCAGAGGAAGAGAAAAGCTCCATTTTGGGGTTTATGGCTGTTGGGAATCTTTGTGCCCGAAGGCCATGCTCAAATCAGGACCCTGGTTTTGTTCAGTTATCGTTGGATAGTATAGGTGGGCACTTCCACCCCCGCTACACTGGCCATCCCCAGCCTGCTGGTCGATTCCTTTCATTTTTGGTCCCTAGATCTTCATCAGGCAAACTCAGTAGAGGAACCACAACTCTTTGGAAGATTTATGTACCAGGTGTGAGATGGACTTGCATTAAGGCCCTCCTTTTAACCAGTTTGAATAAGCCACACTTGACTCAAGCCATAATGAGCAAACTGCATAATTTTGCATGCCTGAACTAAGGCACTGTCTTGAGTTAAAGCTGGGTTAATCCCTATATGAGCTTAATGCAAGTTGTATTAATATATACACATTTTTTTCCTTTTAGATGTGGTGAGTACACCACCATTCTGCTTCTAACAGTGTTGAGGAACTGCTTCTTGCAGTTATGAGGAAGGATTCAGAGCCTTGTGCAGTTGCCTCCATCCCGATGCTTAGTTTTGCTGTCTGGGGTTTGGGGGAAATGTGGCCCCAATACAGCAGACTTGGGAAGGGTGGCTTAGTGATTAGAAACAAAGCATTCATTCTGTTTTGTACAGATCCTTTGCTTCCTTCCTTCTGGTGCCAAGAAAAAATCGGCAGACAGAGCTGAGACTGAGTCAACAGAAGAATCTTGCAATTCCATACATGGATGATGTGTCGAAGATAAAACGGATATTTGCAAAACATCACATACCTGTTTTTCAGACCCACTAA